GTGTGCATATGCACGTGTGTGAGTGAGGTTGTGTGTGTGCGTGGGTCTCGTCCGTACCTATTTAATTTATTTTTTTTTGCGGCCCTTCGCTTTGTAAGCATTTTCCGCCGCTTGGCTGTGTCTATTTTTGGAGTTGGTTCAAGTCGAGTTGAGTTGCTGTTGTTGCTACTATTTTTGTTGTTGTTGTTGTTGTTACTGTTGTAGTTGTTGTGGCTTTTGTTGTTGTCTTGCGTGCTTCGTGCCCTCTGCTTATTGGATTTTGCTGCTTTGGCGGGTACTTCGTCGAGTAACGGTAACTACCGCACGCTTTAAATCGCTGTGCTGTGTGTCAGGGCCTGCTCCACATCTAAGCCCACAAACACCCTTCCCTCCCCTGCCCATCCCCTATATTCCAGGCGCTTTGCTAGTATTTGTATGCGTGCTGCGCCAGCTACATATATCGATTTTCGTCCTGCTCTCTTTTTTTTGTTCTTTTGCTCAAATGCGCTTTGATCTAAGCGATGAAAACAAAATAAATCTTTCGTTTTGACAGGCACAAAGTGAATGACAATCCATTAAATTGCTAAACAAAGGGTAAATTTGCTGCTTATGTAGAGTAATGTTTATCAAGCTATATTTAATGCATGTTCTGGTAGCAATTATTATATATATTTTTTAATAAATTCTTTTATTATAGTAAATATGAATATATCTTGTGATTAATTTCTTAGATTCTCTGTTAACGATGCTAGTAATCGATATCTAATAATTGTTATCGAAACAAAATACATTTCTAATAATTTAAGGAAGAAATCTAAATAAAAAAAATGAAATACAGATTTTCTTATAGTTTTTAAGTTATTTTCATTAGTTAATTTATAAACGGTTATTATTATTTTGAGCTAAAAGAAGAACAAGTTCTCTGCATATATATATCCTTCAGCATATTAAGCATAAAAGTATGCAGTAAAAATTGTTCAATGATTTCGTAATAGCTCACTCAAATCACAAACATTTACCATCAGTTATAATCGAATATGTTTATATGTTTGTACAGCATGCTGGAGTAGGTGTTGACTCAATGCAAACTTGACATTGTCAATAGAGTGTCCTAACGAGAAACAGCTGCGCATGGTCCATTGTTGGGGGGCTTTAACTGGATGTCCCGCTGCTATCAATATAGGCTGTGATTCATGCAACACATGGCAGCTGTGCGTCAGCGTCAGTGCCTGGAAGTGGGTCAAACTATGCAACTTTGACCCGATTTCGTTGCCTTTGCCAATATACACGGCCAATGGGCAATATATGAACAAGATTATAAACTCGATTTTAAACGCTCATCAATACGTTGCGACCAGGTGCCGCTCCTAAAGAGGCAACTGAGCTAACCAAGAGTCGCGCCGCAGTGTCTAAAGTCCTTTATTATTTTATGGGTGGATGTCGCTGCTATGACATCACGAGCTCTAAGCGGGTGGCCAAGCGGGTGAGCGGACAAGCGGACGAGCCACCCCCCAAGGCGGTGGGTGGCGTTAAGTGCCCGGCTAACATGTTCGGGGGTTGCAAAGAGCAGCTCAAACTCAAAGATGGAGGTCTATGAGGGAAGGTGGATGGCGTAGAATGCTACTGCGTGGAGCCAAGTGAAAAGCAGCAGACAAAGCGAAAGCAAACAAATCACGTGCACCTCAAATGTGGAAACAACACAAAACTACAATACGATTCGAAATAACTTACAATTTATTTATTTTTAATTTTATAAATTCATTACGCACCTTTTTCTAATTTATAAATTTAGTTATATATTTTGTTCCTTTATTTTTAATATTCTACAGCTTGTCTCGCGCAATAAAAATCAATTTTTACAAGCGTCGCGACGTGTTTTTGTTTTTAATGGTTTCTTCGCTTTTTTACTTTTTTATTTTCACTTTTTTTTTTTTTTTTTTTTTTTTGTGCCTCGCTGCTTTCGGGCTTTTGACCGATGAAAAGTAAAAAAACTATACCGTGAGCAATGAGTTTTTAGTGAAAACTGCAGAAAATCTCAAAATGCCTAGCAGCAAATTGTTTGGGGAAACCGCAAAAACATTCACAAAACTATTTGCACGTTTTTGTTTGTTGTTTGTTTGTTTGAGTAAATGTGTGGAGCGCCGTGAACAAAATAATTTAACGGAAAATTGGTCAACCGAGCGTAAGCGCGCACGACTCATAACTGCAGGCGACTGCTGTCTGCGAAAGTGGGAAAGTGTGAAAGCTCAGCAACGAGAGCGTAAGCAGTTGAGCATGAGAGCGAAAGCAATATAATAATAAGGAACGTGCGCAATCTCTCGGCGCTCTCTCGACTCCTGCACGAATATGAGCTTTCGACATGAGCGTAGTTAAGTGCTCTTGTTGGAGACAATGTCCACAAATGAAACGATTATTTACTCAACATTTATACAGACAACGCCACTGCATACTGACTTTGTTATTGTTGCGTGTTGTGATAGAGGATGCGCAATGCAGTTATTGAAGTAAACATGTGCAAATACACCCCCACATTGGCTCTCTCGCTCAGTCTTTCTTTGTTTGAGCAAGAGGAAGTTTTTTGCTTGCCAAACATTATTTATATTACATATTACAAATAGCAAAAGGTTTTATGTTATACAACAAATTTAAAAATAACAAAATATTATTTTTATTCAAATATGAACTGAAGTTATAAATGTACATTATGAAATATTTTAATTATAAACTTAACAGGTTATCATATTTAATAACTATTAAATTCAGTCATTATGTACATATGTACATGAATACATCTAACCCTAAGCTAAAATCCTTGCACAAATCCAACAAGTCGTTCGCGTACTACTTCTTTGTTTAGCCATGCGTTGTACTTAATATTTCATGCTCTGCTGTCTGCGCTCTTTTATTTTGTATGCAAACTTTACCGTGCGCTTCTGTGCATTATGCTGTAATCCTTCATAATACGCTCTGACGCACAAATATATGTATGACTTTTGCTTCGATTCAACTGCAGATTTCTTGCTTAAGCCAGTTATTGTACGGTTTCTTTAGTCGTAAAAAAGGTTCTTTAAGATATTAAAACGTCAGATTAACTTTAATTAACTCGATTTGCGAATGTTTAAAGCTCATTATAAAGATAAGCATTACACAAGCTTTGCTTTTGCTTTGCATAAATTTCACACATTATTTAAAAACTCGCGCTCACACGTTTCAATACGCCACGCTTTACTCGATAACATATCGATATATTATCGTTGGTATTTTCGTGAGCATAACATTAACACTTTGCATTTTCCAGCACTTACTTGCGGTCCAAGGAATGCAAATGAAAATGGTAAAGAAGAAGAGTTAACTAATACAGCACGACTATTGCTGTTGTTAGAAATAAAATATGTCTTCAACGTCGGCGGCTGCATCAAATGCAGCGCCAGCAAAACCAGAAGTACGATACGTTACAGAAGTGCCCAGCAGTCTGAAACAGTTGGCACGCCTCGTCGTCCGAGGCTTTTACTCGCAGGAGGACGCGCTCATCATAGACATGCTTGTGCGGAATCCCTGCATGAAGGAAGACGACATTGGCGAACTGCTGCGGTTCGAAAAGAAACAGCTGCGTGCGCGAATCACGACACTGCGCACCGACAAGTTCATACAGATACGCCTGAAAATGGAAACTGGGCCGGATGGCAAGGCCCAGAAGGTCAACTACTACTTCATCAACTATAAGACGTTCGTAAACGTAGTCAAGTACAAGTTGGACTTGATGCGCAAGCGAATGGAAACCGAGGAGCGGGATGCGACCAGTCGCGCCAGTTTTAAGTGCTCCACGTGCTCCAAAACATTCACAGATCTCGAGGCAGACCAGCTCTTTGACATGGCCACATGTGAGTTCCGGTGTACGTATTGTGGCAGCTCCGTGGAAGAGGACAGTGCGGCCATGCCAAAGAAGGATTCACGCCTGATGCTGGCACACTTTAACGAGCAGCTGCAACCGCTTTACGATCTGCTACGCGAGGTGGAGGGCATTAAGCTGGCACCGGAAGTGCTCGAACCGGAGCCCGTGGACATAGACACGATTCGCGGCATTACTAAGCCGAACGCCCAGCGTCCCGACAGTCTGCAATGGTCGGGCGAGGCGACGCGCAACCAAGGCTTTGCCGTCGAGGAGACACGAGTGGACGTCACCATCGGCGGCGATGACAGCAGCGAAGCTGTCGTCGAGCGGAAGTCACGGCCCATTTGGATGACGGAGAGCACTGTGATAACGGATGGGGATGCGACCGATGGCAGCGCTCACGCTGACGCCGCTCAATCGTCTAGCACATCTGGGCCTCGCAATAAGAAGGAGAACGAGGACATCATGTCGGTGCTGCTGCAGCACGAGAAGCAACCTGGGCAACGAGAGGCGCATATGAAGGGGATGCGGAAAGGCTCCTCAAATGCCAATTCAAGTGATTCCAGCGACGATGAGAATGATATTGACAACACCAAGATACGTAAGTCCACTTCCGCTTTATCCAATCTTGTCATCTTCATTTGCTTTAATTGATGATTCCTTTTAGCGAATGTCGACTTTGACAACTATATCAACTCGGAGTCAGAGGAAGAGGATGACGATGTGCCCACGGTCCTGGTGGCAGGACGTCCGCATCCGTTGGATCAGCTGGACGACAAACTCATTGCACAGATGACACCGCAAGAAAAGGAGAACTATATACATGTTTATCAGCAGCACTATAGCCATATATACGACTGATCCTACGATCCTGCTCCCAATTAGGCATTAGGTTTATAGAGTCAATATTAGCTTAAGAGTATTAAATTGTCGACGCATGACGTCTAGAAACAAAAACAACCAGTATCTGACTTACTCTCTGAACCAGATTGGCGCCAAAACTGCTGGACGATGGAGCCTCTACAGGCAATCAGCTGTTTGCTCTGCTATCGTTAACATTAGGCTGTAAGCTTACATGTGAGCTACATGAAGTTGGCTGCGTATGTAAATTTCAGTCAATGTTAGTTAACACTGCTGACTTTACCAGTCAGCTATTATCGGAATTTTTGTGTTTATGTTTTTTTTTACATTCGCATCCAAAGCATGTTCGCTGTAGGTGTTGTGGGCGTATTTTGAACACATATGTGAACGTGTGTGTGCTCAAGATAAGCGGCCAGTGCAAACAGTAATTAAGATACACCCGTATATAGAATATAACAAACCGTGTCAGTACATCGTCGCCGCTAGTTATTATTCTAATAAGATTCTCAGCCAACACGGAATGAATTGCGTGTGCCTACAGTAAATTTTATAGATCTAGAGTAGCATGGGATGTGCCATGCTTACGCCTACAGACAAGTGTGTAATGTTAACACCTGCGAATTCATTCGGCATACAAGAAACGTGATCACACTTTACACACACACTCTGACACACACTGACGCGCGAATGTAATCCAATCAGAAGTGCATGAAACGAAATTGCGCTTGAATTCTCGCTGATGAATTATGCTTGCCGCAGCTGTTTTCCTTAAATATACCAAGCAATTTAATTAAAGTGCGCGACAGTGTGAATCGAAGTGATTGCCAGCGATTCGGCAAACCATCATCATCGATCAGCCCAATTGGAATTGATGAATTGCTAATAGCCGGCCGAATTTAATTTAAAAATATAACAGAAAGATGAAGGCCTCAATTGATAAGGATTTGCTGCCTATGAAGGCGCATTACTTTCTCTTCAATGCCGGTAAAGTATTTTACGGTATATTAACTAATCTCATTCAAATTACAACAGGCACGTTGAACAAGTTGGACCTGTTGATAAGAGTAGAATACATAACTGATAAGAAATTGACACATCATCTAGTTAAAGTGTAAATAAAGGGTGCATAGATATCAGGGTTCTGATAAGAAGTACAATAAAAAATAAACGAAATATTTGTTTGATAATATAATTGGCAAAATGGTAATTGTTTAAACAATTAATATAATCAATTCAACTCTAGAAGCCTACACTGAGCGATAAATTAATTCACTTTGTGCAATTATCACGTACTGTTAATTACTTAAAACAGACCTGAAGTATTTTTAATAAAAGCTTGAATTTTAAATGACGTGTTTTACTTGAAGAACAATTGATCACAATCGAGAGAAGTCTAAAAAAAAAAAAAAAAAATCATGAACAAGAACTCGAATTGAATTGACAGAATTTTCCATTGAACAATGAAACTAATTTAAATTTAATAAAAAATCGAAATACTGAAATTTTAAATTAGAAACTTTTTCAGAACTTATTTATAATTTGAAAATGTTCTTTTTTTTATATATGTATATATATTTTTTGGTCACATGTTTTTTTTTTATATTTATTTATTTATATACACCACTTTATCTCATTTAAAATGATTTTAAATAAATATAAATTATTTTAAATATATTATTAGAACTTTATTAATTTTGTTATATATTATATGACCTTTTAATATTTTTGTATCTTATGTTATATTAAATGTGTATATCTGTCTACTTTCCATTTCAAATTATAAATTATTATTAAATAGGATTCAATTATTATTTATTTTTTGTTAATAATATGTTTAATATTTGCCATTAAAATAAGTTTAGTTTTAAGAAATTGCTCAATAATTTCATGAATTTATTATTTTTTAAATTTTAATTATATTTGTTTTAGTTTTGTTAGCTTTATTTTTTAAGTACAAACTTCAATTTATTTTTATTGCGCTTACATTAAATTGGAGATTTAATTTATTACTTATTTATTTTATCTGATCTTTGTGGCACATGCCTGATTTATTATATAATTATATCCTATTTACTTCTATTTCTAATTATAGTATGTGTTTATTTTGTATTTCACAATTACTTTCTCTTTCTTTTTGTACGTATTTTTTCTTGCTTTTTATATTTTCACACATGTCCGTCCACTCACACATTTACACGTCTTGTTCGTGTCACACAGACAAGCCCAAAAGCGCGTCTAATTCTGACACAAAACTACAATGAAAGTATTCGGCTTAACGTCGTCTCGTTTTATTTGATAAGCTCTAAAAAAAACCAGACACCTGGTCAAAGGGTGGGTCAACCGACTTAATATCCTAACGGCACTTCGCCCTTGATAAGCCCCAAAGCTGCAATCAGCTATTAAAAAGAATTTTCGCTTTTAAATTAATTAAAACTGTTCAACTTGACAACTAAAGGCACAAAGGTATATATGAATATATACATATACATACACATGAAATATGCGTATATATGAAATACCTATACAATCATGTATGTATGTGTATCTGTAGTAGTACGTGATGATATATAATACCCATTGTAATAGTTCTTGTTGCTTCTTCTTATCAGTTATAAACACCCACATTTAGACAATTGGCGCTAATTGTGGTCGAGCTGTGTACCCGGATACCCTGTAAACTAAGTAGAGGTGTCACAGGGCATGCTACATGCATGGTATGCAGCAAAGGGTATCTGCTATTTGCGCCAGCTAGTTGAGCAGTTAGATTTATTCTTACAGATGTATCCGAATTTACATATTTTATTTTTATTTTCACTTGATTCATAATTTTCTTTTCTTAAAGGCACCGCACCCGTTGTACCCTTTATGCCGCCACTGGCGAAACAGCTGGGCTATTCCGATGTCGTCGTTGGCACCATGTACATGATATTGCCCATTGTGGGTTTACTGGCAAAGCCGCTCTTTGGCTACATAGCGGATCGGTAAGTGGATCAAGCGGAAATATCGCCTCTCTATGTGATTTTCAAGAGTGAAATCGAGTTAGGTTATGATAAAGCAATGGTAATTAGAGAGAGAGAGAGAGAGAGGGAGAAGGATTGAAGCCGAATATGAGAGAGTAACTGGATTAACTCTTCCGATATGTTCGAATGCGATTTTTATGATATATTCTACAAGCGAATAATTGAAGGTTGAACTAGTGAGTAAAAAGAGACAAAGAGATTTGGGGGAATTTTCGCAAGAGACAAGAAAGACCAAGCGCCAAATATAGCCTCTATATGTGATTTTCAAGATGAAAATTGAATTAGAACGAAGCGAGTAAAAAGATAATGAGAGTGATTAAAGCTGACTTAAAAATATATACAGCTTATCGACAAGTAGACAAAACGCCCAGAGAGGCGGCTATTGGAGTAATAGAATCAATATAGGTCTAGAGTGATTTTTAGAAAGAGAGAGAGAAACATTAATTATAAAAGTGATTAACTCCGAACATTGAATTTAACAAAAAAAAAGGAGAGAGAGAGCACCTAAATATTATCTCTATAGACACACACAGTATAATCTAGATTCAATTCAAATCTTCCAGCTACCATCGACATCGATTTCTCTTTCTGGCTGGACAACTGATCACCGCTGTGGCCTTCTTTATGGTGATGTTTGTGCCGGCTGTGGAGAAGCCTCAGTTCCATTGCCACGCCGGGGTGTCCAACATACGCTACTGCTCCAACTATCCAAAGGATGCGGAGACGCAACTGGAGGCATTCTATGGGAACCGCACGCTCACCTGCAACATGGCATGTCAAATGGAGCCAGACATGTGGGACATCGTCTGCCAGCACTGGCTCAAAGCAAATCCGCTGAGCGACTGTCAGGCGAATCGAACGAAGAACACGCTCAATTTTTCCACCTACATCGATATGAAAGGTTTGATCGAGGAGGCGAATGGCAATATGAGATGCCTGAATTTCCTCATTCCGCACGACCTGGGCACGATCGACTCCCGCAATGTGACGCTCTACTGCCCCAAGGACAAGCCGATGTTCCAGTCCAGCTGCCAGATGGAGTGCAACGATACGTTCATCAACGAACTCCTGCCCGACAGCTCGGTGATCAATATGGGCAACGCTGTTGCTCTGCCCGAGTTCTGGTTCTTCTTTGGCATGCTGATCATCAGCTGGATAGGCATGGCCGTCGTGGTGAGCATCGGCGATGCCATCTGCTTTGGCATTCTGGGCGACCGACATCATCTCTATGGCAGGCAGCGGCTGTGCGGTTCCCTGGGCTGGGGCATCTTCGCCCTGCTCGCCGGCCTGCTGGTGGACACGATGTCCAAGGAGGGCAGCATTGACAAGAACTATACGATTGTCTTCTGGATGACGCTTATCATACTAGGCTTCGATATGCTCGCCTCCACCAAGCTGAAGGTGAGTCACTCGAAGATAAACAAGATTTGTATTAAATGGATTCTGTCCCATAGCACACCCAAACGCACATGTCGGCCAACATCCTAAGGGACGTGGGTCAAATGTTCCTTTCAATACGTTGCGTCGTCTTCTTCCTCTGGTGCGTGGCCATTGGCCTGGGCACAGCGCTGATATGGAACTTTCTATTCATCTATCTGGAGGAGCTGGCGCAGCCGTTCGACCATGGCGCCAACTTCATCAAGACGCTGGAGGGCCTCGTCATGAGCATTCAGTGCTTTGGCGGCGAGCTGCCCTTCTTCTTCATGTCCGGCTGGATACTGAAGCGCATCGGGCATGTGAATGCCATGAGCCTGGTGCTGTTCGGGTTCGGTGTGCGCTTCATATTGTACTCGATGCTGCAGAATCCCTGGTACATACTGCCCATTGAGCTGCTCAATGGCGTCACCTTTGGGCTCTTCTATGCGACAATGGCTTCCTACGCCAGCATCGTCGCTCCGCCAGGCACGGAGGCTACCATGCAGGTAAACGCAATCGCAGAGCGAAACGATGGCAATGATCATACTGAAAAGTTTCTTCTTACAGAGTCTTGTGGGTGCGATCTTCGAGGGCATTGGCGTCTCCATGGGCAGCCAGATTGGTGGCCAGCTCTTTGATGGAGTTGGCGCTCGTACCACCTTCGAAATCTTTGGCATTGTCGCCTTCATAGTGTTCGTCATCCATGTCTGTGTCCAATTCTACCTGCAGCGCAATGGCCCAGCTGAAAATGGTAAGGGTAGGTCCACCACGGCAGCGTCCGCCACTGCAACTGCATCCGCATCCGCAACTCCCGACTGCCCGACTAGCATTAAGAACCTCGATGGGTTTAGCGATGTCGATTTGAGCTGAGGTCAGGAGTTCGTCCGAGGCTTTCCATCCGTATTATAACACAGGCCAAGAACTTAAATGAATTTATCAGCATTTCCGAAAGAACCAAATGAATTTATTAACTGTGCCGTTAGATAGGATATTAAGGTATTTTCAGCTATGCCAAAAGAGTTTGAATATGGGACAATAACTAGAAGACTTGCAGCTATTTAGATATTACCCGATATTAAAACACCTAGAGTTACAAAAATGTTAAATCATAAAAGTTGATTCAAGAACTATATAAAGTATTTTGATAAATTCTGTTTATTGTTGTCGTAAGAGGCGAAGACAGGCTATAAAATGTTGTTTCACTTCATTCTTTTATTCACTCGTATGTATATAAAGTTATTTGATTTGGGTTAATTGTAGATCTTATATGAAATATATAGAAACATTTGTATATATATCAAATATATATTTCTTGAACTCTGCTCAAACACAGCTATTCTCATTGTTGCATTTTTCAATATTTCTTTTTTTTTTTTCATAGTATTTGAAAATTGTACAAAGCTCATAAAAAAAACAAAAACAAAACAAAACAAAACAGAAAATAAATTGGTAATAAAAGTTTCGCACTTTTTGTTAAATACACATTAAGGCATATAATATTATGTTTGTAAATGCAATTCCGTTACGCATTATCACTTAAGATACGATCGATATTCAGGTATTCCTTAAAGAATTTATTCGACATATTTATCAAAAGTAAAACATAAAACTCTTTTACACTTTTACAGAGACTAATTCATATTTCGAATACTTTTAGGCACTGTCAAATATTTCGCACCGACAGATGCAATGCACATGCTGAATGAACAGGAGTATACAGGTCTTAGCTAAACAGCTCCTCCTCATCCTTCTCTGTGATCTGGCGATTTACCGAATTCGTATGCTTGCCAGCGTGAAACGACACACAATCAGCCAAGAAAACAAAATCAAAATAACAAATCCAATACCAAATCAAGAGAAACACTTTTCCTGCTGCTGAATCAGAACAATTTCCTCATCAATTTGCATGGCGAATGCTAAATATTCAATCTCGATTGTAATTATAATTATTATATGTAATTGTACTCTAATTTTAGTAATGCTAGCAACAAATCCCTCTCACATCCAATATTTTTGTTACACTAGTGCATGCTTTTGCTAGGTTTATGCGCCGCAGATCGTGAAACAGAAGAGGTACAAAGAAAATGTATTTTCTGAATGAAATAAAGAAAATAAGGAAATGTTATAGTATTACTAGTTGTGATATAAAGATTTCTTATTATTAGTTAAATTCAATTTGCTAGCTTATCACGATTTGCACGCGCATAAACATAGCTTTTAAATAAACATTGTTAAATTTAAATGGCATGTCTTTAAATTGTATTGAAAACTCTAAAATTGTGAATGTTAAATTTTTTTTTTTTTTTAGAAACTAAAAAAAGAAGCTTAAAGTATTCAATGTTGCTTATGAAATTGGCTTTTCATGCATGTGAAAATTATCTCGAAAGTATTTTTCAAATTATATAGACAACAAAAGAGTTACCTACTATTCTCTTGTTTGTAAATTGTCCTTTATCATGTGTATTCGTTTTGGATGTAATGTTTATTTAGCTCTTAGCTTAGAGTCTTGTCAGCCTTGGCAGTACTCATTATGTTTAAGTACTGCCCGATTATAACTAGTTTTAATATATATAAGTAACTATAAAGCTTGTTATATCTATGGCCCTATGGCAACGGATTGCCAATGAGCGACTCCTCGTGCTGTTGCTTTTCGACTTTGCGCTGGTGTTCGCGTTGCTTACAGGCTGCGATGTGTGCAGCTCGTTTCTGTAATCAGAAATACGATACATACATATATATAGATATACTTAGTTATCAATTGATTATGATTGCATGTGGTCTACTAGTTCGTACACACTGTTAATTATTGTTTTTATGGTTTTATGCTATACAATAAAGATTCGTTACTTTGGTTTTCCTTGTATATTGTTGGCTTACCTTGATGACTTTGGAACGCTGATAAATGCTCTGCATATCCTTTTTGATTTTAATCAGTTTATCTTTGTAGAGCTTCACGTTGCTCATCTGTATGTGTGTAGACGGTAAGGTAGACGTAATTCATTATATATCATGCGCCATTTACATGAAACACTTAGATTAGTCTAACAATATCATAAAATGCATTTAGCTGTCTGCGATAAGAGTTATACGCCCAGACATTGTTTATAATTGATATAAACCATTTGTACTGATAATCACGTACTTCAGTAATTAACTGAACACTTAATATCTAAAATTTATGGTTTCCCTTACCATATCGTATAGTTTAGATACTTCGCTGCAATCCAGCTTATATTTCTCCTTGGACACATCAATGTAGAATTTGTTTTGTTTGCCACTGCAATCGAGTTATTTATTTATGTGTGATTTCTCATCTTAAATCAAACATTACTTACATCAATTCTTTCAGCTGATTGCGAACACGTACTAATGGCGATTCGGCAATTTCAAGGACACCAAAAGATAATTGCAAGGCTGACATAGAGCAATCAATTTCGTCTACTTTTCCTTGCGACAACGATGTGTTGTTGTTGTTTTTGTTGTTCTTAACTGATTTCTCTGGTGCTGCGACGGCGCCAGTGCCCGTGCGATCACCATCGAGTTCACCAATAACACTACTTGATAACACAACTGTACAAATCATTTATATAAACTTTTACCCATAGATTACCTGTCCAAGTTGCTGCTTTTCAACATTTGAAAATCGTATAATGGACGACAAAGCTTCGGAATTCCACAAATAACAATTGTTAAATAGCTGTTTATTACAGTGCTGTATATGTTAGAAGTGGCTCGCACTTATCGACACTGGCTGCTATCGATAACAAGCTCCACCAGCCCTACGCTTATCAGCTGATTAGTCTGTGATTTGTTTATTTTTCCGCATTATGCATATTTACAATTGCTAATCAGGAATTATAATGCGTTGTGCTGTAAGATACTGTGGCAACAACAATCGAAATGGCAATAAAAAGAATTGGCGCTACTTTCACTTTCCAAAAGATAAGCAACAGCTCAAGAAATGGATTGAATTCTGCGAGCGCGACATAACAAATCCAACAACAGGTAAGTGGTTTTGTAACGAAGTGAATAAGTGAATAATAAATCATTTATTAGCCTGTATCTGTAATGAGCACTTCACTCCGGACGACTTTGAGCGTAATATGCAATATGAGCTTGGTAAGTTTAAATATATACATATAGCAAAACTGTTTCTATAGCAACATGCTTTTTTCAGGTTTCACACGTAAGAACCCAACAAAATTAAAACCTGGATCCTATCCCACTATACATGGGCCACAGACTAAGTTGTTATTAAATAATGCTAAGGATAAACGCAGAAGTTGTAAAGATGCAAACCCATCTAGCAACCATAAGAAGAAGCAGAAAGTGGAAGAGAATTCAAATAGCTCACAGCTTGAGCAGCTTACCCCAAAAACAAACAAAAGAGAAGAGGAAGCTGCTGAAAGTGGAAATAGCCAGTATCAAAGCTATGAAATGATAGAGTATATTAGCGAATCGGACGATGCTCCCCTAACTGATGAGGGGCCACGAATCGGACGTATTGAATTGGAAATAATTGACTCGCTTGATCCCCAAACAAATACTGAAGAACATGTGGAAATCATTGAATCTGAGAGAGACAGTTATGCAAGGCATTTAGAATGCGAAGTGTAAGTGAAAAATACAAATGATTACAAATTTATATTTACTAAAATCGAATTTTGTTGCTATCAACAGGAGCAGCCTAAGGCGTCAGGTTTTCTTCTTGAAAGATGAGCGTAAAAAACTGATGGATGAAATTCAAAGCCTAAGAGCAATAGTTCAAAACGCTAGACTAAAAGACGAATCCCTGGAGAGCCTTAACCTAGCCAATAATAAGACTGTTTGTATTAAGCCGGGATTAACTTAAAATTAATTAATTAATACACTATATTTACAGATTATAAAAAGTAAACACAGACCTCCAATTAAGAAGACAGTCATGCTATACACAGCAAATATTGATAGCATCAGGAAATTACGAAAAATAAACAAAAACGACTGAGTAAAAATAACTCTAATAACTAAATTTACAAACATATGTATATAAGAAATATATTTTTATACAAACATTGTTTATACGTAAATGAAGTCATCAAGCTTATCTTAAGATTTTGTGAAAACTAATCCATTTGTTTGCAAGCAACAGGCAAGTCAATCCGACTGAGTGAGATTTTTAAGAATTTTATCTGCACTTTCCCAGAAGGAATTCAGCTAATCTCTTTCTTATGTATGTGTCGCTATCATAACTCAACTTTAACGAGCAGGCAAATGTATTGGGTGGGTTGTTCGTTCTTATCGCGGAAATTTTGTCTGGTAAATTTCCGACAAGGTCAAAGTCATTAGGACCACGACGCCTACAAACGAACATATTGAAAGATTGAGCTGACCCTGCCTGCCTGGCTCTACCTGCAGGCCTATAAAACTGCGCCGCAACTTCCAATCGACCTGCACTTCAAGCGAAACTCTCTGGCGATCAACAACGTGCTCGAACCGGACCAGGAACTCTGGCCAGTGGGCGATAGAAACTGTTGCGACGCGGCGTAGGAGTACCAAATCAGCTGGATGATAATACCATCGCACTGGAACTCTGAATAGTTGGCAATGGGAACACGAAGCCCACATGGAACCGGAACCAACTGGAGGAGCAATACCCATGGAACTGCGCCAAGGCATTTGCTTGCTGTGTCAGCAATTAGGAAACAATTTTCAAATTTAGTTTAACTCTAGAAATCAATTGTAAATAGTCCCCCAATCCCCATTTAGTCAAATTTATTTAGCAAAAATTATACAAAGTAGCCAATTTTATTTAGATAATGATGCTTTAGTATATTCTAAATATACGTGATATTCACTGCAATAAAATGTAATTTACACCCCCTATATAAAGTTTTTTATTCCAATTTAGACATTCATTGTACATGAAATACAATGAAATACATATAAGAGATATATTTATACATAGCCCATACATACACTAAAAAAAATGTTTATATTTGAAAATTTCAATTAAAATTTTACCAAAATTATTTTGGTATATATTTTGTTGTTCTTTAAATTTATATAAATCATAAATAACATATATGGCAGAATTTAACCTTCCTCAAATTGAAAGCGTATTAACAGTTCCACGAATATTAAAAAAAAAAAACAAACGTAAATATTGATAAAACAGAAATGCGTTACCTAGGAGTACAGTAAACCTTATGGCCTCAGTTTGTTATGCTATAACAGTTAGTCTTAACAAGAGAATTGAGTTGTCAGCTTAAGAGTTTATATTTTTCCGAGAATGGAATATATATACAAAAAGGAGCGACGCACATTTGGCTCTCGGGTGCACTTCGAAGACAAGGATGAGGTGGTGTTTAGCGAGAACTCGAATCCAGAGCTGGTCAAAAATTTCATATTGAAGAACCCCGTGGATCGGTCCACACAATATGCGGGGCAAACTTCGCTCAGCGTGGCCAACACGGAGCGCGCGACGTACAAGAGCACGGGCATCACGCACAATGAGGGCGGCTGGCCGAAGGACATTAATATGCATGATCCGGAGCAGACGGTGCGCTACAAGCGAAAAATTGAAAAGGATGAGAATTACATAACGCAAGTGATGAACCTAACCAAACCCATGGAGCACTACATATTCCAGAACAATGCGGTCAACATCTATGAGAATTACTTTGAGAACATGGAGCCGGCTCCACTGCCGGAACCTTGCAAATCCCGCACGGTTAACGTCTATCGTGATCCGAATCCGATAAAGGTGCCCGTAAAGCATTTGTCCTGGTCGCCAGATGGTGGCATCAAAATGGCCGTCAGCCATTGTGACATGAAGTTCCAGGGAGACAAGACCGGGCAACGCTGCAACTCGTACATCTGGGAAGTGGAAAACCCAAACGAGCCGTTCCTAACGCTGGAACCGAAGGTCCCATGTGTGTGTCTGGAGTACAATCAAAAGGATCCCACCAGCCTGGTCAGCGGCATGTACAACGGCCAAGTAGCTGCCTGGGATACGCGTCACGGCAAGCTTCCTGTGATGATCAGTGAACGCGAGGTTTGTCATCGTGACCCGGTCAACTCGGTGCTCTGGAATAACTCGAAGAGCGGCACGGAGTTCTTCTCGGGCGGCTCCGATGGCCAAGTGCTCTGGTGGGATACACGCAAGCTCAGCGAACCGCTGGATCGCTTGCTCATGGATCCGGTCAAAGGCGACGAACAGGATTTATCACGCTCCTATGGCATCTCGGTATTGGAGTATGAGACAACCATACCAACTAGATTCATGGCTGGCACCGAGATGGGCATGCTGTTCTCCTGCAACCGCAAGGGTAAAACACCCACAGAGAAGATACAAATCAGGGTGAGGGCTCTTAGAGGCTCTCTGCAGAATCTCTTAATCTTCAAACCTCTTTCTGTTTGCAGATGATGTGTCATTTGGGTCCAGTGTATGCCATCACGCGCAATCCAGCTTTTGTAAAGAACTTCCTCACGGTGGGCGATTGGTGTGCACGCATCTGGTCCGAGGATTGTCGTGAGAGCTCAATTATATGGACTAAGAGCAGTTCCTCGATGCTGACGGACGGCGCCTGGAGTTACACCAAGTATGAATTGACATGCATTTAGCTCAATACGATACAGGGCTAACCATCCCTGCCTTAGGGTCTCTCAATTCTTTATCACTCGCATGGATGGCGTGCTGGACACATGGGATCTGTTGCAGCAGCAGAATGAGCCCGTGTTAACCGTCAAAGTTTGCGATGAGCCGCTCTACTGCGTTCGCACCAACGAAAATGGAAAATTCGTCAGCTGCGGCAGCAAACTAGGCGCAACTTTTCTAATAGAAGTTTCCGAAAATATGATAATGTCAGCTAAAAACGATAAGCCACTCCTAACGGCGGTAAGTCGCAGTACAGTACATATAAATAATATAATTATTTCATTATGATTCGTATTCCAAAGATGTTTGAACGCGAAAATCGACGTGAGAAGATTTTGGAGGCCAAGTCGAGGGAGAGCAAGCTAAAGATTAAGGCCAACCATGGGCAGGAGCAAGCCGATCTGACCATGCTAAATGGCAAAATCAATATGGAGCCATTTGCCAGCGCCTGCGAACAGGCAGCCAGCGAATATTTTGCCGCTGTGGAACAGGAGCGATTGCGACGAATGCCCGGAGGCAAGCGTAGGTGAACGCTGAAGTAAACTGTCTTCATATAATATCTTATCTTTAATATTTTCTCATACTTGCAGAGGATGCGGAGGAGGCTGATGTGTCGGAAGCAGAAACCGTGAAAGCTTAAAACTTGAATTGTTAATTACTTACTGTTATGGGTCGGTTAAGTTACTAAAGCATATATACATACATGTCACAAACGTATTGTTTAATTTTCAAAATAACGGTCGGCGTTGTTCAACACTGCAAGTAATCGATAATTTGTGGTGGTCGGACAACAGTCGGTGAGCTGCATACCAATTTTGATTAAAGTACACAGCAACAGACTACAGTCATCGATACAAGCATTGGAAGTTTTGATATATATTTGCTTTAAAATTGATAAATAACGTAAGAGAAGTTTGTAATTGATATTATGAAATAAGTGCCCTTGTAGTTGTTGCATTAAGTGCAGGCACAAGTGCCGAATTGTACACAAATAGTTTGAAGTGCGCGGGCAGTATAACCAACGTCCATGTTGCACGTTGCTCTGTGTGGCCTACGTGACTCAGAAACAGTTATCAATGGCGCAACAACAGCTGCTTCAAAAGTTCACTGACCAATTCCGTAGTGCAACTGCAACCCCTGAGCATAGCCGCATTTAAATTTGAACTGTTAGCGAGGCAGCAACTAATTGCAAATAATCTTAGAAACAGTGCACAAGTGTGTGTGCACACGTGTGTCTCTATTAAATAATCAGTAAAATAAAAACAAAGCAAAAAACAAACGCAAAAGCAACAACAAAATACTAGACGAGAAGAAAAACAAAGTGAACGTCTAGGAAATCTCACTGAAAACCTTGGCGCGTTTGCCATTCGACAGTTGCAGCTAAAATTAATTAACAAAGTGAAGGTGAGGACCCATACCTGAGTCATCAAATGCAATGTTTAATTACTGAAACTTCTTCAAACAAAGAGAAAAAGAATAAAAAATAAAATCAGGTTAATTGTTTACACATGCATTTTGCATGTCTGCAGTCACGTAGACCCAAATTTTTCACAGCGCTCAGAGCTCATTAGCTCTCCATATATACGTAAATAGACAAATAAATGCATAAATATAAAAATACAAAAAAATAATAATAATAATAAACATACATATTTATAATCACAGACCAAAGACAAGGTCAAGTTTGTTGTCACATTTGTTTTTGTGTATCACATTTGTTTATAGTATCGAATATTTGTTTACGCTTGTGCATTACAGTTGTAGCTCCAGCAATTTGTCATCATGTTGGACATTGTCCAACCCGTCGAGCACCTGAATGAGGGGAGCAACAACAACAACAACAGCGATGTTGTCGTCATACGCGCGAGACCAAAGAAAGTGTTTAAACCCAAGGCGCGCATCAATCGCATACCACAGGAGCTGCTCAACGATCCCCAGCTGCAGCAGGCCATCGACCGGCTGCCCTCCAACTACAATTTTGAGCTGCACAAAACCATCTGGCGCATCCGTGAGACGAAGGCAAAGCGTGTGGCTCTACAGCTGCCAGAGGGACTGCTGATGTACGCCATGGTCATCAGCGACATTGTGGAGCGATTCACAAGTGCCGACACCGTCATCATGGGCGATGTCACCTATGGCGCCTGCTGCGTGGATGACTACACGGCGCAGGCCTTGGGAGCGGATCTGCTGGTGCACTACGGCCACAGCTGCCTGATACCCGTGGATCAGACCTGCGACATTAAGGTCCTGTACATATTTGTTGATATAAAGATCGATCCGTTGCACTTCCTGGACTCCGTCAAGCTGAATTTCAAACCAGAAGTGGGTCAAATAGCGCTGGTCAGCACAATACAGTTTGTCACGACGCTGCAAGCAGCTGCAGCAGAGCTGAAGGCAGCTGGCTACGATGTTCTGGTGCCGCAGGCCAAGCCCCTGAGCCCGGGCGAAATATTGGGCTGCACTTCGCCACAGCTGCCGGAGACAACGCAAATGATTATCTACCTGGGTGACGGACGTTTCCACCTGGAATCCGCCATGATTGCAAATCCTCTGCTCAAGGTAAGCAATCAAACTATAGACAAAGCACCATAAACTTTATTAACTCGAATATATTGCAGGCCTACAAGTATGATCCATATGAAAAGAAGTTCACTGTGGAACACTACGACCACAAGGCCATGCAGAGCCTACGTCACTCGGCTGTGCAGCGTGCCAAGCAGGCGAAGCGCATTGGCATCATATTGGGCACACTGGGTCGGCAGGGCAGCGCTCGAGTGCACAGATTTCTGGAGAAGCGTCTGCACGCCAAGGGCATTGCGACGACAACAATACTGCTGTCTGAGATCTTCCCACAGAAGCTGGCGCTGTTCGCTGACATCGACGCCTTCGTACAAATCGCATGTCCACGTCTGTCCATCGATTGGGGCTCGGCTTTCGAGCAGCCATTGCTGAATCCCTATGAGCTGTCCGTGGTGCTGGGCGACATCGAGTGGACGCCAGACAATGCTTCGCCACGCACCAATGCCTATCCCATGGACTTCTATGCCAGCGGCAGCCTAGGTCCGTGGACACCAAACTTCAAGCCCCCAGCGCTCGGCGAATGCGAGAATCGACCCTCGGCCGACTGCTGTGGCCGCTGCACACGCGCCGAACTGGAGAAGGATGATACCGGCAAGGCGGCGGCATTGGCCGACTTGCTCGACTTCAAGAAGGGCTAAAGAATCCGACCAAGAGGAAATTGGCAGTCCTCGTATCATCGTATACATTTCTCTCACTGCTGAGTAACTAGGTGATTTAGTTTATGTGCCCGCCCAGCCCAAATGTAATATACCTACTAATTTAAGTTAGTACAAATATCATTGCTAAGTTATTGTGGCGATGTATATATGTATATACTTCATGTATGTGTATATATATGTATATATTAGCTCAACATTTGTGTTCAATCAAACTCTATTTGATATCAATGACAGCATTCATTTAATATTCTAGTTTTAGTTGCATTTTTCAGAAAACAAATATCATTTAAAGTTACACGATCTTACGATTAAAGAAATGTTTAATACGCCAACTAAATATGAACTCTGATCTTTTGATTATTATCAGCTGTAACTGTACAACGTATGTATGTTTTAGTTTTCGACTGCTGCTGGAGTCTAATATTTGCTTTACTACAACGCAACAGCATCTTGGCTTTATATTTGATGTATTTGTTTTTCCCTGCGAACATCTTTTTGATATTTTGTCTTTATAAAAATTATATACATATATATTATGTATGGGTAAATTAACACTTCAGAATCTACAATGCATCATCAGTAAAGCACGGCAATTAAATTTTTATATATTGTTTTTATTTTGATATGATTCACAGTTTATTTAGCTTTGCTGGAGGTGCCCCAAATTTTGAGTAAAACTTAAAAGTTACTTTTATATGTATAAATAATGAGCTTTAAGTTCTTAGCAAATTCTTTACCCCTTATAGAGCAAACTGATAATGACTGTCTGACTGTGAGAAATGAAGATAGCGAAATTAAGGCCAGTGAACTGGAAAGTAGAATAAACAACAATGTCATATTATGTGTCATGTATATAATGTCATATTATATACCCATTATTATATGACATTAACGATCATTAACTCATTGCATTCTAATACAATTGAAATTGATAGCTAGATACAAAAGTCTATTGAGGTATATATGTTATATTACACATAATGAGTGAGTGATAGATTTCTAAAGATCTAACCATAGGAATTTCATTATCACATAATTAGGAAGGGTAGATTTTAGAGAAAAGTAAGTGCAAAAAGTCATTATTATTATAGTAAAAGCATCAGCATCGTTATGATCAATATAATCATCATTAGGATAATGAGTATCAATTATATAATTATCATTCACAGGCGCGATCATAAGCAACATAACATCATTATTATTATAATGCAAACAGCTAAAATGTTTGTATTAAGGCAATACCTATAGCTATTATTAATAGAATCTAACATTCAGAATTACCCTTATTAAATATTTAATATATTAACAATAATAATATTAATAGAAAGGATTATAAGAGCCCCACCACAGCACCACAGCAACCAGTCAACGCCAGATCACCGACAAGACTGAACCAAAGCTGTCCCGGCTTCTCGCTTTTATAGGCACAGTTTCACTCATTTGTCTCAGCTCCGCTCTTGAGTAGTTTTTTGAGTTATTTTGTGTATGCACAATAAGTGCAGGAGTAAATTGAGTCTTTCTATTGAGTAAATGGAATATGGGAATGCATTGTGAACTAGAGGGTGGAACGAACGGTATGGATCACCAAACATACATACATACATATATGATGAATATGCATGTGTTTGTAGTGTTTGTTCGATTTGTCTATTGCGCTGCTGAGCAGGTGAATGAGTTGGATTTATAAGCAAATCTGAGCCATACAGGGTGCGATTTTATGGTAGCTTGAGTGGCATTACACTGATGCAACGAAAACTTTATATATTGTGTTATATAACAAATAATTTATTCGACGTTTATCAAGTAAAACAATGCATTTCGGCTTCATAAATATTTAAGTTTTTATTTATTTCTTTTTTATTTATTTTTTAAACATAAAAATGTTCGTACAAATACGATCACGCATAGGACATGCAGTTAAAAGCTGAATATTCCGCAGAGTATTCTGCACATATTTAAGTTTTTTTTTTGTTTGTTTGTTTTCTTTGCTTGTTCTCTTGTAATCTGGTCTATAAATCAGATCTTAACTTTATACATAGATTGGATAGGAGCAGACTGAGCTGATCCGGAAAAAGCCTTTAAGCATTAATATTGAATTGTCTACAGTTAAAAAAAGAAACACGCTCTTAATATTTAAGTTGAGAGTGTTCTTTGCTTTGGAGTTGGAAAATATGTTTTCGTACTTATTACCTTGCTTAACATTAAGACAATCTTACACTTATATATCTGTATATATATATTGTATCCTGACTGGCGGCATTTGATTAAATTAGACTTGGATCCTGGGATGTACATGATATACTCCACATATCCATGCATATACATATACATATATATATTTATATATATTTTATATTTCTTTGATTCCGATTTAGATAGTACATACATACATTCATATATATCTTTTTGTATTATATTTTTCTTTATTATTTTTAGGTAGGTGTATTCGTTTCTAGCTTTGCTTCCTGCAACATCACATGATTTCTATTTGCGTTTGTTTTTGCTTTTACTTTTGTTTTTGTTTTTGTCTTTGTTTTGTTGTAACTCTTAAAAGGGATTCAATCATCGTAAATAGAGTTTTGATTTCGTAACACATTTGGGCTAGGACAACTGGGATAACTGGTTAACTTGATCAACTTATCAGCGAATGTAGCACCAAAAAACAGCTGACAATAAAAATAATCTACACTTAAACGCTAAAAAGATCGTTTAAAATTCATATACACAAAACTGTGCCTAATAATCCTCAAGTCCAACAAATTGTTGTTCCACATCTTCTTCAGTTTACTCTCAAAATAAAGTCGACCGACAGAAAAGTATTATTTACTCTACATAGTTTTCGCACTTTTGTGGCAGTTCAATTTGCATTACTGAAATACATTTTGGGACTGTTTGCTCGGGATCACAACCTCCTATGTGATGCTCGCTCTTGCCCACTCTTCCACTCTCTCTCTCCCTCTCTCTGTCTCTATTTCAAATGAAAAGTTCGTTTAAAGGCCAACAAACATTTAATTTGAAATGAAGGCTTTGGGATAGTTTAGTTAAAATTAAACTCAGCTTCACGGAGCTCTCTCAAAACAATACTTATAGCATGTACGCATGCGTTGCAGAGTCGAAAGTCTAGTCCAAACAGAACCTATGCGAACTCAGCCTGGAAGTGAGCTGCTCAAATTGTAAATTAAATATAATTATGTAGTGTTAAGACTTTATCACTTTGCTTTCTCCCCCTCCCCTCTCCCTCTCTGTCTTTCTCACTCGTTGCCCGTCCCAGAATTTAAAAAACTTTAACACACACACGCACACATAAAATAGTCTCTCGCATTTCGCAGGCTTTCGTCAGCCTTAGCATTGGCTGGAGCACCCTGTATCTCTCTCTGGCTTTAAAAATATTCATATATATCTTTACTCTCTCCTCGCCTCCTCTATCTCTCTGTACTCGCCCTCCCCCTGCGCCTTGGTCTCTGCTTGCTGAAGCTTACAACGAAAAGTACTTCAAGAACTGTGCCGGAGGCACAGGCTGAGCCAGCGCCAGCTGGCCGCCAGCCTCCTGGACGCGCTGCTTGTAGTCGGGACTCTGGTCGATGATGCACGGATGGCCATCGGAGGGCCAGAAGAGGCAGCAGCAGGAGCGGCAGAGTGCCAGCACCTCGGCGAACTGGTAGTCATCGTTGACGCCATAGGTGCGCCGCAGCTGATGATAGATCTGTTTCCAGTCTTTGGTCTCGCCCATCTGCTTGATCTTGTCCAGGTCCAGTATGGTGCTGATTTGTCGCTGGTTGAAGTGGAAGCGCGTCAGCTCACGCCAGATGCGCTGCTCCGACACCAGCTTGGCCATGGTCTCCCAGGCCTCAGCGGCCGACTCCAAATCCCGATGATCGGCGATGCACAGGATGATCTCGCGCACGCACTCCTCGGGCAGCTCGTGCAGCTTGGGTCGTGCCTCCGGGTCGGGCTCGCGGATCTCGATCTGGCTGGCCACGCGCTGAATGCGCTTGATCCGGGCCATGTGCTCCTGCCACAGGTAGGTGCTGCCCAGGGGTTTGCCCCAGCATTTCTGGTTCTCCTGGTTGACAATCTGCTCCAGCTTCAGCGCCAGTCCGCGCAGCACATTCGGATGCTGCTGGCTGTCATTGACTGCAAACAGAAACCGGTTATCAATTCCAGTTTGGACCTGGCTCAGATGTGACCTACAACTGGCCAACTGGTTAGAGCTCTATTACTTACCATGTGAGGCCACCTCCTCGACCATTTGGAGCAGCTGGCGCTGTGCGCTGCCCGGCAGGCTGGCAATGCCCTTGTTGGAGACCAGCAGCAGGAACGCACAGATGTAGTGGAAGCGTTTCCGATCCCGCACCGAGCGACGGAAATCGAGACGCTTCACCGCCTCGCTCAAACCATTGAAGCCGGCTATCTCGCGGGTGCAGCGTATCGTGATGTGGTAATGCGGCGGCATGCAGCCCTCTTCCTGCTCCTCCTCACGCTCGCTGCTGCTGCTGCTGCTGCTGGTCGTTGCCTCCGGGCAGCTACCCTCCGAGCTGTGGCTGCAATGGAAACACCATGAAAAGCTGTTAGAGCCAGTCAAAGACAACATTCGGAAGTGATTGCAATCGCAATGTCTATCTATCTCACTGTCTCTGTATCTCTATCTCTCTCTCTCTCTTTCTGTCTATCTCTTAGTTGGTAAATATTTTTGGGTTTTTAGTTTTGGTGTTATTTGCTTTATTTTAAACGTTTGTTAACTGTTTTTTAAAGAGGCGGAAGTTGCCAAGTTTTTGCTGCTGCTGCTGCCGCTGCTGCGTCAGCTGTTGCACATATTACATGTTGCATGTGGCAGCTGAAACCCGTTTATTAAATAAAGCATTTCGCTCGTTGGAGCCCGCAACTGCTTTGCCAGTGTCAAGTCATTCGTTTTTGGCCAATTACACGAATATTACCCCAAGCAATTAGAGTTTGCACAATCTCAGTTATGTGTCGGTCTTTGCACTGAGGAAATCATTTAAGTCTTTCCCATAGCTCAATCACATTAGAAGAGTTGGCCAGAGGCCAGCAATTTATGGCAAATGTTATGAGCAGTAAACATAATGATATATATATAACTATAAATAGAATGTATATACATATATAAATATTAGATATATTTTTTATAGAGTCTCGCCCACATACATTAAGTACGCATTTACGAAACGAACGGAGGAGCTCGACTCAGTTCGTCGAACTGATTTATGAATCATGATATTGAAATATACATACATAGACATATTGCATACATTTTAACAACAACAATTTGTCGTAATATTTGGGCTAACGGTATAGGAACAATATATTTATTTGAATTACAAAGTTTAGATTAATATGCAATATATTCAAAACTACTGTTTTTTCTCAATATTTCATAACTAGAAAAACTACAAATAAAAGAGATAAAGAGATAAAAGATTATTCTTATTTTATTTCAAATAACAAAAACTAATTTATTCCTTTTTAAAGAAAACTTTCATTTAACCTGTTTCCTTTCATAATATTACCTCTAACTCACATAGATTGGCCATATCTTTTTGCTTATTGAAACAGCTCACTAATCTAATTCCGACTTCATTTCGATCAGATCGATGCGCCTTGACCATATTTAGAATGCGGCTATTCCCTCAGCTGGGCAATCGCTGCCAACGAGGACATGACATGTCCTTGGGCGGATGCATTTCAATTATGGACTAAACTGGGTCAGTCTCTCTACGTATGTATGTGTGTGAGTATGTGTGTGTCTGGTTGGGTGAATGTATGTGAAGGGCCTCTGTCTCTGCATCTGTCGTCAACGATTTGCCCACAACAATTGGCTAACTAATTGCAATTTCATGTTTCAACTAAATTATCTGCACAATTTAGAGCGTAATTATCACTCAAAATAATAATATAATGTTAAAGACTTTTGATTGTTAAAAAGAAAGTAAAGTTTGCCATGTAAGTTTTAATATTATATATTTTTAAACATGTAAAAGCGTTCGTGTCAGCTGTAATCGGATATAATACATACACAAAATTTATTTATTAAATATTAAATTGATCCAATCATGAAGTATACAAAATAAATTATTAAATACTCAATATTTAATTATAATTGTAAAATGTATTAAGTGAAACAAAACTATATATTGAATTTGAAGTGAATAATTAAAACCGAAATCTATTCAATTACATTCCCTAGTCTCTAACTCGCATAGCGATTAGTCATTCACCCTTGCCTAGTAAGCGCGTTCATTTACCTCAGTGCAATAAATATATGTGATTTCACATTTTTGGTAAAAACTTCTGGGAAACCAAACGATTTAAGCTCTATGTATGTATATATGTATTCTGGTAATTTTTGTATAAATAATAGAATAGACTAATAGACCCTTGCTTGCCAAATATATCGCTAAAAGCTAAACAGCTGAGCAAGATATTGTATGTATCATCCAATTTACAAATTGCCATGCCCTTAAAAAGGCGAAGCAATATAAACTATACTATATGAGTATATACATATATACGTAGATTCAATTAAATTTCAAGTTGTAATCCCAATTAAATTGCCAAAGCTATTAAAATCAATACACATTTATCCATATATAATATATGTATATATATTATGTATACCCACACATTCAGTACAAAAATATTGTACCACTTCATAAGATAAGGCTGCGCCTGAGTTTATATGCATGTATATATATAATTACAGATATGCCAAATGTTATGTATTCAATTTTGACGAGTAAACAAAGAAAAGGCTGGTCCCCTAGATTCGCTATTCACAAAGCCAATATACTCTCTTCTCACATTTAAGCTCCTCTACAATTTAAATCAAGACTTTGGTTTAATTTCTGCAGCAAATTTTGTGAAATAAGCTTAACATTTTCATGGCCATTGCACAGGTAGCAAAAGTGCACAGTCAGCCGCCATTAACAAAATAATAACAGAAGAAATGATTGTTGTCGTTAATGTTGTTATTGTTATTGTTTGATGCTCAGCGAACAGGCCAAAGCTGTAGGATCGGAGCTGGCAGCAATTGTGGCAGCTGCGCTGGCGTTGGCTTCGGCTGGCGGAGCATGGATGCCAGAGATGATGATAATGCAGTGGAACAGAGAGAGAGAGAGAGAGAGAGAGAGAGTTGTTGGGGGCCGACGACCACGTGATTCATATAAATCAGTCAACGACGCCATAGCCATGCCATAGCCATAGCCATAGCCATTGCCATCGCTATCAAGCGTTCGTTTACCTTTCTTTTAGGCAAATTAAACAAATGCAACGAATGCGGCTGAGATCAGGGCGCAACTGCAATTCGCTTGTCTATTTTTAAGTGTGCGACCTTTTTAGACATTAATTATTGAGGCTGAGCAGAAGCAGAAGGAAAGCAGGGAAATGCAGACAGAGAAAGAGAGAGAGAGAGAGAGAGAGAGCGAGCAAAGTGATGTGAAGTGAAGCCGTGTCGAGTTCTGGTCTAATTTTAGACGAAGTTGGGAGCTATCACATGTCGCTGTCGCTCTCAAACGGCTATAAATAGACCGATGCCAGAGCTAAAAGTTGGCCGTCTATATAGAGGAAAAGCTCCAACTGCAAACTGCGTAGATTTTCAGTATCAAAGCATTATTAGTTTCGGATCATGGACCCACGATATGCTAATGACAAACTACTTGTAACGAGAGTAAGAGAGAGAGAGAGAGAGAGAAACAGAAGCAGAAAGATGTAAAGAGGCAGAGAAAAAGTAATAGAGATACAATAAAAGTGGGCGCCATAGCAAAATGATAAGTGCGCTCATTACACTAAGCAACAAAACAGAGAAAGGTAAAAATCGTCAAGCTACATAAAGCAATACGGCTTCAAGTCGAATTTAGTTCGATATTATAAGTAGAGTTAAGAAAATTCGGATAAAAAAGTTAGAGTTTATTTATTAAATTAGCAATATATACCGGGAGTGAGTACTTTACAAGAAATAAACAGTATCCCCAATAAGTGGTATAAATTCGAATCTATTAGAACCACAATTTATATACTTTTCACATGCGTGTATAAAATAATTTTGTATATATTTATTTTTTATATAAATACTCAAAACTATATTTAAATAATATGATTGTAATCAGAAAATTTCCTAATAGTAGTAAAGCTCATAGACAACAGTCTATGTTGCCAGCTGAATATGTAAAACATAAGCCCTGCTCAACAGTGTACAAATGAAATTGAACGCATTTTCTTTGGCTTTTGAAAGTGCACAAGAAGAAGAAGAAGAAGAAAAGGAAAAATAAATGCAATAGCGAATCAATTCAAAAGGCCAACAAATGTTCAATGGAGAGTGCAAGTGAAAGTGGGTCCACATCCACATCGACATCAATGTCTACATCGACATCGACATCCACGTCCGCATCCATGTCCACATCCACATCCACATCCACGTCCACATCCATGTCCAATTCCTAATTCCTAATTAAATTTGAGCCTTTATGTAATTGAAAATTTGGCATTTGGAGTTTTTAATTATTAATGGAGTGCATTACGAAGTGCTGGCAATGTAGAGTTGGGCAATTGCATGTTTAATTGATCCACAAAATTATGGGAAATATAGTGTAGAAACGCAAAAATAATAAAATATTCGTTGAGGCAGTTATGAAACTTTCCACTTACGTATCAAAGACATTTCCTATTGCATGAACACTTTTATTGCTAAAGGAAAATTTCAGTTTTGAATTTAAAGTTAATTTATGCTCTTTTTCTCTGCTGCCCTACTGGAGAACCCTTGACTAAAAGCTATTTGACCTAATCATAGGAACATAAATTTGGCCTGCTTGAGATTTCGTGTTGGCGCCCTACTTAAAATCGATTCGTTGTGGAAGTTTGGGCTCATAAAATGGCTACGGAACCTTGAGCTAGCACACACACACACACACACACACACACTCTCTCTCACTCACTAACACACAGACCCATAGCAGCCCGCACTTTCGACTAAACTTGACCGAGTTACACGCCCTCCCAAAGGGCGAACTGTGTTTGAGTTGAGCTGCGTTGAGTTAAAGTTTCCAAGGCTTCGCCTAGTTAAGTTTTTACATAAAAGTCGAAAAGGTCCTTCAGCAATGAAAACCAATTTTGAAAAAATGAGATTTTAATCTAAATGTAAATTTGACTAAATACACATGCATACATAAAGGAATATATGTATATATACATATGTAAATATGTGGTGCCTACGGGGAATTGTATCTTTATATGTAAGTCTGTTCTAACTCCCAGCGGCTAATTTTAAATTTATTTTTAAATTGTATCATAAATACTTATTTGTGTGCATCGCTTCCGCATGCACATATACAAATATACATATATATATATATATGCATAGGTATTTAAATTTTCTACCATATAAGAACGATGCGTCGTCTGCCGAATGCGCCTGACAAATGCCGAAAATAGTATTTTCTTCCTCTTTTTTTTTTTTTTTTTTTTTTTTTTTTTTTGAAAAATGTGCTTTATGACATGTCAAAATAAGCACTTTAAACTGAATTCTGTTTCCCCTGTGCATGTGCATTTCACGGTGTTCTGCTTTATGTAAAACTTTGTGCAGCTTTCAGGTAAGTCGAGCGAGCGCGTTCCGGCTAGCCACGTTTCGCTTCGTCACGTTTGGGATTTTTTTTTTGTGGTGCCCCTCTCCTGAGAATTGAACCTAACTGCTGCAGAGGAGACAAGCACTAATATACATGGGCGAGGGAGGCTTGAAAAGTAACAAAGCTCATATAAGATATATGTATATACATATAAATTTACTTATCATTAAAGGATTAAATTTACATTTCTTCTGTTTTAGCTTTTGGTTAAGCTCTGAAGCGACGAATACTACCCTCGTATTTATAAACATGTAAATAATTATAGAAAATATTATTTACTTTTTATTTCTTTCTTATCTTCTTTTATCTTTCTTATTCACTTCTGCTTAAAGCCAAAAAGCTGTAAATGATTAAACTCCCCTCGTGTAGGTATATTATTTTATTTGAGTTCCTACTTTCATACTTAATCATTCACCATCAACGTTTTTATAGCATCTATGACTTTGTTTATTAACTGGCTCAGCGTTGCCAGATTTCTATTTACAGCATTGCCAGCCGTTGGTTTTTGCTTATGTTGCGATTTCATTGTAAATCAAATTGCCATCAATCAAATGGGAGCGCCTAGAGCAGCAACAGCAGCAGCAGCTCTCCCTTTTCGTCTGCCGCTGCTGCTGCTTGCACTTTCACACTCATTTGCCGTGAGTCATTTTAGTGATTGCACTCCAAATGAGATATCGATACATATATACAGACATACATACATATGTAGATCTCTCAAGTGTCTATGTCTGTCTGTAATATTCTTCAAGTGCACACACAAACACCCACATGTGGATGGATGTATGTATGTATGTTTGTATACATATTCTAAATTGTTGGTATTTTAACTTAACAAATTTCAATGTTTTATGTGTGTGTGGCCAGTCTTATTAATTCATGGGCATAATAAAACGGTTTCGACATTTGTCAGTTCATTATTTCTATTTGTCTTCTTTGCTTTGATGCTATTTTGTGTAGTCAACACTAAAGCTGTTTGTTGTTGTTGTTGTTGTTATAAGTGGAAGAGAAGGTAAACGCTATTGTGCTTTGAACAAGGCAAAAAATACAACTATTGTTAGGTTTGCATAACACTCTAGTCATATATTGTGTAAATACACACACATTTAAGATTGAACAATCATATGTTCTAATTATACAAATCACCTAAAACAACTAACTGATAAGAACTTTAGTAGGATGTCAAAAAGCCTTGGCTTTAATTTCCTTAACCAAAATCAGTTCCGGTGGCCTTGGCCTTTAATCTGTCAAATTTTGCTGCCACATTATCTTATCTATAATTTAAGTTTCGAAAACTGCGTTCTCCAGATGTGGCAGGTCAAACATTGTTTGTATATGCATACATACATATACAATGTATATGTATATGTACATACATACATACATATGTATGTGTATGCGAGTGTGCCTAAGTAGGCTGTGCATGTGACCTAAATGGAGTGAACAAGTTCAAACTTTCAAGTTAACATATTCCATTGTCTTGTGTGCCGATTGTGTGTGCATTGTGCATGCATACGCAATACAAATCGATTGTCATAAAGAGTTTTGTCATCGATCATTGATTGCTAATCAATTCTATTGTCCATCGCATATGAATAAAAAAAAAAAACAAAATGAATATTATAAAAAAAAACTTACCGCTTGCGTTTGCCGCCACACTCGAGCACCTTCTTGCGTTCCCAGCCCTCGTCTGTCTTGACCCAAGCTTCGCCAGGTGAACGAAAATCTTTCGAAATGAACGCCATGTGTGTTGTTTTGTTTTTTTTGTTTTCGGTTTTTTTTTTGTTTCACTTATTACGGTCTATTACGTATGATGAGTTTATTTTAATTACTCTTATGTTTATATATTTAGTTTTCGCTTATTATATTATATTGTTGTTTTGTAATTTCTATGCGGACGGCGGTTTGAATAACGCGGTTCAAATAGTATGTTAATATGCGTTTTATTAGGTTCGGTTAGCGAAATGTCTGTGTCTGTTATTGGCTGTAAGAGTAGAAAGAAAATTGTGAAATTTCAAAATTGTATTCAGTCAGCAGTGCAACAAAAATTTGTTGCGCATTTTCCGAGCTACTGCAGAAATTAGGCCATCGAGTCGACCCATCTATACCCTTTGCCCAGTCGATAGCGACTAATCAACGTCGCACGCAGACGACCTTATTTGGAATTGCCCAAATTAATAGACGAAGGAACATACTAATTTTTTTTTTTAATTGCTCAGTTTACATTTCTCCTTCTATAACTTTTCATGAAATTCCCAGCAAGAGTGCATCAAGTGCTCTAAGTTGATTGCGCTGTAGAATCAAAACAAACGAAAAACGAACCATATAAAGGCAAATTGTCAGAGCCAGAGAAAACGAGAATGGAAGAATACGCAACAACAGCAAGAGAGAACGATAGAGAGAGAATGAAAGCAAGGGAGAGAGCGTAAGCACTCAACCAGCTGTTAGTTGTTTGACTTATAGAACGAGGGGAATTGGCAGGGACAGAGAATATAACTGTTTGGCGCTCAATTGGAGCACGAATCATGTTTTGTTTTGCTGCCTTTGCTCATGTGTCGTTGGCTGGCTGTCATTGTGTGCGTGTGTACGAACGTGGAGCTGTAGGTACACAGCTGATTTCTGCAATTACGCGTTTGTTTTGCTTTTGTTGTTGTTGCTGTTGCTGTTATATTATTTTTGTAATACATTTTTTCCAGCTTGGTCTTAAAGCACGCAACCAAATTTTTGTGTTGGTATTTGAGCTGGGATTTGCTTTCATTTCCTCAATTGAGTAATTTTTCGCTATTCACACACATTATTCACAATACATATAGATTCAGTATACATGTATGTACATACATATTTATGTATTTAAATGTGGATTGCTCATATAGAAAAACGCAGTATTTTATTTTCTCTACATACAAACTATTATTATTTACGCACTTTGTTAACTGGCTGGCTGGTCTCGGATTGGGCTTAGTTTCCACGCTGCTATCGCTCAGCAGTGGCAGTAATTCAGCTACCAATTTTCAAGCGACTTGTAAATCGACGGAACACAGAGTACAATGCTAGCGAACAGCTCCACAAACTCCACGAACTGTTTCACACAGCTTTTGACGTTGCACTCAAGCCCCCAATCAGAAGGCACTATGTTGCTTACATTGTGCAATTGTTGCTAAGCATTGTGTTAGCAACATCGATAGGAGCTATCGACTCACCGGCTGTTTTGTATCGAGTATTCGATAAGTAGAAATTAATTCTCTAGCACACCACTAATTCATGTGAGTTTCATAATTTTTGCCGAAACTTGTAATCTAAATAGGAAACGTCCCTATCAGGCAGACTGCTAAACAACTTAACTCGATTTGAGCAATAATGTCGGCATCGGAACAAGGACCCAAAATCAAGTACGGAGAAACCGCACCCAAGCTAGACAAAGCCCAGCTGCAGTTCATGAAATTGATCGAGGAGCAGAACTTTGATCGTGTCCAGAAATTAAAACGCGTTCGACGCAACAACTTGCTTACAGCCGGAGCGCTTGGCTTTTCAGTTCTGGCCATTTACGGCTACTCCATATTCTCGGTGCAGCAGGAGAAGTTCCTCGACGACTTCGAGGAGCCGAAGAAAGTCAACACCAACTAAATTTGATCCTCGCTTCTGTTACTCCGTATCGCCTTAGTTAGTTTGTAAGCTCTTGTTCTTCAATTTCAATTTTACATCATTTCTAAAATCGTTGCGTAACTACTAATAACACTGTAAGTACTCTGTGATCTCGGGTCAGCACTTTGGAGCTAATTTCTCAGCTTTGTCCACAGATGTCTCAAGCCTCGGCGCGTATCCTCAGCAGCGGCATGCGCCTGCCGCCGCTGCCCAGCATCCGGGATCTGGTGAAGCTATATAAGCTGCAGGCCATGAAGCAGCTCAGCCAGAACTTCCTCATGGACGAGCGACTAACGGACAAGATTGTCAAGTCCGCCGGCCGCATAGATCACAATGATATTGTATTGGAGGTGGGCCCGGGACCCGGTGGCATAACGCGTTCCATTCTGCGTCGCCAGCCACAGCGTCTGCTGCTAGTCGAAAAGGATGCCCGGTTCACCGAGACACTGCAGCTGCTGCGCGAATGCGCCCGCCCGCTGGACATGGAAGTAGAGATCTATCACGAGGACATTCTGCGCTTCAACATCGAACAGCATGTGCCCGACACCACGCAGCGCCTGCATCTTATAGGAAATCTGCCATTTGCCATCTCGACACGGCTGCTCATCAACTGGTTTGACGATCTGTCCCGGAGACGCGGCGCATTCAGAAGAAACGACACCTGCATGACGCTCACCTTCCAGAAGGAGGTGGCCGAACGCATCTGCGCTCAGGTGGGCAGCGAGCAACGCTGTCGCCTCTCGGTAATGTCACAGATATGGACCGAGCCAGTGCTCAAGTTCATTATACCTGGCAAGGCGTTTGTGCCCAAGCCACAGGTGGACGTTGGAGTCGTCAAAGTGATTCCTCTGAAACGACCAAAGACGGAACTACCCTTTCCACTCGTGGAGCGCGTCGTACGTCACATCTTCAGCATGCGTCAGAAATATTGTCGTCGTGGCTACAGCACGCTGCTGCCTCCAGAAGGCCGAGAGGAGACGACACAGGCGCTCTTCCAGCGCGCCGATGTTAAGGATACGATGCGACCCTTCGAGTTGTCTGTGGCTGAGTGCCTCCGCCTGGCCGATGCCTATGCGGATCATCTGGTCGCACATCCCGAGGTGGCCAACTACGATTACCGGGCGCCCAAGCAGGCGCTGAATTGAGACTTCACTTATGTTATATATATTGTAAAAATTTGTATTGCATAAATAGTTCGGTAAATATAGAAACCGTAAAATTGTAAAATTGTAATTTTAAATTGTACAAAGAGCGATAATGGACGGAATGTTGTGGCTGGACGAGATTCGAGCTTGAAATTAAACTGTCGTTATACTAAAGCTAAGGCACTAAGGCACTTTGTTTTGGTGCTAATCAGTGGAGGCCGACGAGCAGCAGCAGGAGAGTAGCTGCAGCAGCTATGGCTGAGGTCTTCAGGCTGCCGGCTCCGTTGCAACGATGGTCGAGGAAACAGAAACAGAACGTTGTTTCCGTGAAGAAGTCACGCTTCACATCGTGCTCCTTGATCGTGTGGTTGACGTAGTGGGCCAGGCGAACATCCTTGGCAGCCGGACGACAGCCTTCGTACTTATCAGCTGGGATGTCGGTGCGGAAGTTAAGTGCGCTGAGGCAATCCCTTGTTATTGTCTCCTTGGCTCCACGCCGCTCCGTCACCTTGACGCAGATGTCGTTGCTCTCGGGGCACTGCTCGCCCAGGAAGCCAATGCCGCGCCAGTTGAAATTATCGGCACAGCCGGGCGTTGCGGAGGTGCAGCGATAACACCAAATGGCGTCACCTGTTAACAACGAATCATCAATTAGTGAGGTATATCTAGCTCTAATGGATTCACACTTTGGAAATGTTTACGACTTGTTTGTTCTTCTTCTTCTTCAGCCTGGTGGAAATTTGTGTGACGTACCTTCGTGTATGAATGCTGCTATTAGCAGCAACACAGTAAGCGACGTTTGCGCTTGCATCTTTGATTGATAACTCAATGAAATTAAAATCAATTAATAAAAAAAATAAATAACAAACAATTGCACTTTTACGACGAAAACAACGCCCAAACTAAGTTAACGATGACATGTGTGTAACCTATCGAAAGTTAAGTTATCGACAGCCACCACATCTCACGGTACCCCAACCGTTTTAATTTTAGTGCTGGAAAACGTTCATATACTAGCCGCCAACTTTAAAGCCTTGGCGGTGCTATATATATATATTTGTGAAAGTCAACCTCACCTAGTTTATAAACAATAAAAATCGCATTATCTGCGTGTCTGCTGTTTGTTTACAACTTTTGCTAGTCACTTTAGACTCTGACTCACATTAGTGTTTGTTTTTTTAACACGTATGTCTATGAAACTGTTTATATTTGCATAGCCCACAAAGCATTTCCGAAAGGCAGACATATATATATTTATATATATGAATATATAAATATATATTGTTTCCTGCCAAAAGTCATGTATATTTTTAGCTTTGGCCAGTTATGTATGCAGATCAGGTACGGCCCAGGGGTCCAATAAACTTTTGCTCGTATTTGGAGAGCGCTTTTGGAGTAATTTTTTTTATGGCGGAATGTGCGATGTTTGCCAAATTAAAAGGCCGAGATGAATCAGCCGGCAATGTCGAGGCGGCGTCGGCACTGTTAATTGAATAAAAACGGTTTTGACTACCGCCGCTGTTGACAAAGCCCAAATAAAGCGCGTAAGACCAGTGGACGTTGGAGCCCCCTGAAGATGCTTAAATATGGAAATGACGAAATGGGATTGAATTAGAGATCGAATAACATTATATGGAGTGATTTCAAATAAAAAACAAGCTTTCAATATTAATAGTTCTTGAATTTAATATTTCTTTATATATATTTATATGTTTTATATTTTTTTATGTATTGCTAACTAACAATTTATACATTTGCAAATATCGCATACAAAAGTTTTTGATGAAGTCAAAAACAGCAGAATCAAATTATTAATTATAGTATAAATTATGTTGTTGTTCATGATTGAGAGGAAAAATGAATGCAAATTGCTTCTCTTTAAATATATGCATATAGAATTATGTACAGTTAGAATAATAAATAAATTATGCCTGCCTATTGGGAACATTCACGCAACACAAGCAAACAAACAAAGTGACTTATGAGCTAACCCATGCACACTCACACATACACTCGCTCATACATTTACATACATACACACTTATTCACGCTCACTCATTCACACCCATTCACTCACACAGTCAGACTCACTAGAGAACTACGAATACATTTTATGTAAAATCACGTTTTAGGCACAGGCCCCGCCCCTCCCCCCGTTTGCTCTTGGCACTGTTCCCGTTTTTGAGAGTTGTGTGGAGCTGCAGTTCTCCACTGTTGTTGTTGTTGTTTTTGTTGTTGTTGCAGTTAAACGGAGACAATGAATTCCTTGCCGGTCTTAAAGTCGACGCACTTGAACTGCGGACAGCATTTGGGGAAGCTCCAGTTGAGGTCGCTGGGCAGCTCCTCGCAGCCGGGCATCTCGATGTAGGGACAGGTCTCGATATTGATCTGACGCGCCTCAATGTCGCACGTCATGGCGGCACAGATGCCCTTCGGCTTGTACTCCTTGTCGGGCAGCATTGCGCGTCTGGTCAGCCGATCGTAGCATTTGCCGGGATGAGCTATAATAAAGAAGAAGAAGAATAATGAGAATCAGATACAGCGGAAGTTGGGTATGTGTGTGTGGGTGTGTGTGCAAGTCGTGCTTTATTACAAGGAAGCTGTAGCTACAGCTATGCAAAAACTATCTATATATACTGGCTTACATACATATAGCTATAAATATCTATGAGCTCCACATGAAGCCTGAGAAGTTGCTTTCAAATTTTATTTTGGGCACAGCACAATCGAAAGACTTAAGCAACGAACTTGCCAGTCACGAGCGACTCTCTCATTATACTACACTCGCGCGGTACTTGCGAACAAACAATTGACAGCCTCGCTTTTATTATTATTTATAACAATTGGCCGTCGGCTACAGCCAACTTTGATTAATGATACTCCAGCACGTCCAATTGCCATTTTAGGTCGCGATCTCAAAGAGCTTCGCAGACTCATTTGGAATTGTTTTTTTTTTTTTTGCTCGATTTGCTGGATTTACGGGTCTGAAAGAAATTTGCTGTGAACTCATCGACTATTTTTATATCGTTAAACCGAAAGTCGAAAACCCGGTCAGCAGTTGGACGACCTTCACGAAAAGTAAGCAATAAAAAAAATAAAAGAGATCGCACTCAAATAAATCGAGATAAAAATATTTTTATCAAGTCTTGGCGACATTAGTGTTACAAATCCGCATAGCTATGCAAATTAGCGCTTCACATTTGTTAATAAATAATCAACACCAACAACAACAACGAAGGCGACAGCAATTAAAAATCAGCACATTTCTTATGCTAATTTTTGGCAGACGCGAAAAAACCCAACGAAAAATTGTAGCAAAAGCAAAAGAAAGAAACATGAAAAAATAACAAATTTTGTTGTTGCTAATTTGGCGACTGTTTTGCGTCGTTTATTATGATATCTTTGTATTTCTGCGTTTTAAATGTTGACGTCAACGACAACAGCAAAACAAAAATAAATCAAAAAGAGATTAAGCAAAACAAATATAAGATACAAATAAAAATAGAGTCGAACAACATTTAACACGACCTCCAAACATTTACAATTAAAACAAAGAAAAAAGCACTACAAACTCGATGTAACACAAAAAAAAAAATCAATCTTTGCTCAAACTGAGCAATAAATCAATCATTTATATAGCCAACTGCGCTTAGCTTTATTCGCTCTTTATGTTTGTTGGAAAAGGTCGTTTATGACAACAACACAAGTATTTTTAATTAAAATTTTAATTATGCGCTTGTCAATGACGTATAATTCCTATTTTAAAAATTGCAATTAAGTTTTTTATCGAGTCAAAATTGTTTAACTTGCATTTAACCTCACAAAGAACCTGAGCTAATTAGGGCTTCTGTCTGTATTGGTTAGAGTCTAAATGGAGATTTGGAGAGAAATACTAACCAGGATGAAGGAACGCGGGCTGGATGTAGACAGCCGCTTCGGCAATGCAGGCGAGGCAGGCGATGAGCGCGAGAGCGATAAAAACTTTTTCCGCGTACATATTGATTTGGATTATATGTGTATTTAGTTGGGTATTAAATGAATAATTTATAGTTTTAATGGTTTTGCAATTGATTGTGCAATTGATTTTCTTTCCACTTGGATATGTTTATGTTCACAATGCGCGTAGAGCTTTGCGCTGGGCACTTGTCAGTGAGCAACTGAAGCTACAGCGGCCAGTGACGCTCATATTTAAGCGAATTCGCAGACCTGCTTTTCGCTCTCCCTCTCTCGCTCGCTCGCACTCTCTTGTGCGCAGGGGGCTCGCAAAGCACATGTTTTCTTTTTGATTGCGTTGTTTGCCTGCTTTGCTTTTTTCTTTTTTATTATTTTTATTTTTTGATTTAGCTTTTTCGCCTCACATTTTTGCGTCTTGGGTTATTCCGAGCCTAACGCGCACCATAAATCTCTGCACCTTGCATACATACATATGTATGTAGCTCTGCATATGCGTCTGTGTGTGTAGGTTACAAAGTATTCGCTTTGCCGGCGAAATGCTTTTTCTCTGCTTAGCTCGAACAGTCTCCGTCCGCCATTCTTGTTTTTCTTCTATGGCTCGCCCACGCTTCTGTGAACCACGCTTCGCTCTCCATTGTTTTGCATTATTTGCAGTTTCTATAATTGATTGGTCGATCGCTCGAAATGGCAACGGCTCGTCGGTGGTTTTATCTAAATCCGTCTGGACGTAGTAGGCGGATTTAGCTGCTTGGGGGCGTATTGGAATGCTCGCAATCATTCTGGCAGTCTGCCGCTTTCCATTAATGGCAATCTGATCGTTTCGTAAATGAGTTTCTTATTGTTTAATCATCGCCAGCGGTTTGATTTGATATGTTTATTATTGTATACATACATACGTACATATGTTTGTATATGCAAGCATAAACATAGACATTGCTGAGGCTGCATTCTGCTCAAATACTTATGTACATATGTACCTACACACATACATGTGTACAAGAGTGTCTTTTAATTGGTCCTGACAGGGGCTTGATGAACCCGCCTTGCAGCAGAGCCACCGTCTTCCAGCAGTGCTTATTATCCCATTCGACTGACGCCAAGTTGACGCCGTTGGCCGTCAGGGGGCGTATCGCTTAATGGAAACTAGTCGCCTGTTGTCTTCTGTTTTTTTCTCCCTCTCTTTATTGCATACCAGAGTTTAAATACCTATTATCTGTGTCCGGCATTGCCCGTCATTCTTAATGTATACTTAGTAAAGGCAAGCAGCTTCTTAAATCGTATACTACACACGCCACACTTACATAACTGAAATTTTCGAATTGTCAACCGATTAGATTTTCAGACTGTTCTATTCACTGTAAACACTCTGTAAACCAATTGGACGACCAGACTGTTCTATGCTTTAAGCTTTTATATGAAAACCAATTGGATGCGTAGGCTAGAGAACTGTGTGTGATGAGATCGTTTGGATGTTTCATTCTGTTTTGTTGCTCGGGGCTTCTCATTTGTTTGTATCTTTGGGGCTCTGAATACACGTTTAACTCGTTCCCAGCCCCGATACGCATGTCACACTTGCAACAAGCAACAACTACGACAGGCGATTCCAACAGCGACGACCGTGTGACGTCAATTTGTGTTGCTTGTGTTTGTTTGGTTGTGTTTGCCGTCGCCGTCGCCGTCGCTGTCGCCGTTGCTTTTTGACATTGCCTTGGCCCGGCGAATTCAGTTTGGCGGCGCACGCTGGAATTTATTAATTATGACCGGGTACATTTCAGCTCTAGGCGAAGGGGTGTAAGGTCTGAGAGGGGCGACTGGACTAGCGACGACTATGCTAAAAATTCCACTTGGAGCAGCCGTTTTATAGCTGATTTATTGTTGATTCGTATTAATGTTATTGCTCATTTTTGGACTACGTGCTCGCTCTGCCAATGTGGCATTGTAACTAAAAGAAAACAGAAAACAAAAAACAAACAAAACAAAACGCGACAAAAGCAACAATGCGATAAAAAATACGTGAAATTAAATAAACACAAATTGATAAATATTTATAAAGTTTAGGTTTTTTGTTTTGACGTGACGCATAATTAGTAACAAATTGTTTATTAAAACACAGTCTGCGCCGCATACAGTAGCAAGTCTTTAGGTTCTCTTCACAGCCTCTACTTCGCCCCCTCATTCCGCCCCCTTGCCCCATAGGCATCGTATCGTGTTTACTAAACGATTTGTGAACAATTAATTACTGATTAATTTCATCGGACGTGCGCTGAGTACAATGAGAAACAATCTGTATATAATATATGTATGTGTGTATATATCCTAGAGTGATGAAAAGTATTTATAAACAGGCTGGCATCCCCAGATATGAGGCACACATCACTTCTGAATCGTCTGAGTGGAAATATTTATAGCTATTGTGCGTTATATACAAAATATATTGATAGGAATTTTTTTCTTCAAATATATCTGATATAATTTCTTAAAAATAAAATAGTATTTAAAAACATAGAATTTAAAATTTTTTAATACATTCCCTTAGTCTTCAGGTATATATATGTATATAGAAGTATAAAAAAACTGTGTGAATTACATATTGTCTGGATAATAGTAGACATAACTGTATATAGAGATAAGCGACAATATTAAAGCTTTAGATTTCATACAATTCGAACACTAGGATCAAGAGTATCAATCAGCTTATTCTATTTACTTTATTTATTGGCAATATTTTAGCGAATTCGAAAATATACTCAACAAAAATATATTAAAGAGAGTATATTTATATTCAGAAATGTTCAGCCTTTACTATCTATACCTGTTTATATGAAGCCTTAAATGTATTGCTCTTAAAACCAACAGAACCGGATGAGACACATCGTTATGAAAACATATAGTTTCTACAGATTTCTGAATATTTTCCATAGATTCTGTTTTGTGAGTGTGACAAATCGGAAAAGTGTAGACTCAGCAGTTTTAGATATAGATTTGAAAGGTTGACCTACTCTCCAACTAGATTTAAAATTTGCATAATTTAAGATTCGAAAAAATTAAATTTAATTATAATTAACTGCCGACTGCAATGCTCCCATCAGATTTGTCAGCCAAATAAATTGAAATATCTTTTAAAGCAATACATATAGCTACATATGTATATATGATACGATTATCTAGCCACCCATCCAATTCCAAATTAAAACAAATAAGTTGAAAGCTTTTAGCTAAAGATATTAAAATTTGATTTTGTTTTAATTATTGTTGTTTCTTTTTTCCTTTTTTGGGCTGTTATATGAAGATCAACATTTTGTTTAGGTATTCCCCAGAATTGTTTGGGAACCGAGTGATAGGGAAAGAAATTTCTTTAGTCATTTCGCTGCAAACTTCATTAATAAACTTAACTTCAATTTGCATATTTAACGTTGGCTTAGCGAAAAATCCCGAGCTACGAAATCCGCATACAAAAATCATGCGAGCAGAAGCTAAAAGTCTGGCGCCAATGAAATTGACAATAATCCATCAACTGATATTGAGGGGTTTTGTTTATCAGTCGCCGTTGCTAGGCTCTCGTCTGGGTGTTCATTTCCACTTCCATCTCCATCTCCATCTGTCCTCCATGCGCCTCCATTGCCGTCTCAGTATTAGGCTCCAGCCTCTGCCATGTGCTAATCGCTTGATGGAGCGATGCGTGAAGTTTTTATTACACGTCGCCGACGTCGCTACCGTCCAGACCGGTCCGGTCTATAGAATCTATTTCCCGGTCGAAATGTGAACGCAGCATTTTGACTGCGATTTGTGTCTAATTATGCAGGAATTTTTGACGCGAGCTCCGTCTCGGAGACGCCACGATAAATTCTGCGAATTCGACAATTTTTTTGTTTTGTTTTTATAGTTATTATTCTTATTTTCTGGCATAGTAATATCATAAATTCATTTCCAGTTGATATGTACACAATCGCATGGTATGTCATCAATAAAATATTTAAGCAATCAAATCTAAGAAAAGTTCTCAATTTCTAGAAGCTTCAATGCAATCTGATCTAGTTCTGATGTAGTAGAGCTGAAAGTGGTTTGGGAAAATGAACTTTGAGTTATCGAAAAATTTAAATTTAAATTTTGAATTGCAAATTGCGATTTCAATTTCGATTCAATTGATTTATAACCCTACGATCTAGTTCTTGTGCCGTATATGTTATCGAAAAGCCTATCGAGCCACATCTATCGTAGTGAGCCTTAATTTAAAACTCAAACTCATAAAACAGATTCGAGAATTCGAGTCTAGCCCAAAATATACACATTTCATTTCAGTTTCATTGTAGGTACAGCCCAGTAACGTGTTTTATTTTCTAGTTTTATAAAATCCGAAAAATAGAAAAAAAAAAACAACAATATTTTGATAATGTCTAATCAACCACTGAATACTATCATTAAGCAGCTGGTTCAGTGCTTAAAGAAAATCAACGAACCTGTTTCAGTGGATCACCTGGTCCATTACTCCAACATGTCTGTCACCGATCCCAAGGCCTTCAAGGAAAAGATTCAAATGCTGCTAGGTATCGCAACGCGTCTGGGCCTCGTTGAGGAGCACAATCATCACTACTTTGCCAGAAGTCATGCGGAAGATATACTGCCGGTGCTAAACAGAAAAAGACAACCGAAGAAGGATATGCACTTGGATGCTGTCCGATGCACTTGCCCCGTAGATTGTGACGGGAGCTGTGCGATTGCAGCTGATGACGGGAGCTGGCTGTCCATCGCCTCTGGCAGAAACAATGGGTCATCGGGACACCCTGCGCCAAGCCACGAATCGTTGGTCTCTCATCTCTCCTCTGAGGAAGTGTTGGAGGACATTGAAAGCTCTCGGCACTTGTTCTTAGACGACAGCTGCTGCGTTTCCACGTCTAGCGAGGAACAAAATGGCTCTAATTTGGGCACAAAACAAAAGAAAAGCAACGTCACCAAATAGATATGGATAGATATCTAGACTCTTCTTCAATGACCCGGGATCTTAGTAGTCTTAAGGGTTTGGCACCACTTTGAAAATACCGTAAGTCTGGGAATGGAGTACTCTTGCTCTGGCCAAATTAGCCTAACACAGTCGATTGAATTTGTTAATCAATTTCGCACACAGTGGCTGATGTCTGTATCTCTCGTCTGTGCTCCGTCCCACGCGTTGCGTTTTAGTACCTGAACGCTCCACTGGCAAAAATCACTTAGCGGCTGACGAATTGGATGGCAGACGCTTAGAATATTATTATAGGCTAAATTAACTGTAAACTAATGAAAATTAAATTATATTTTAACCACGCGATATTGAGCCAATCAATTATTATTTCATCCAATTCTTGCACTGTTGTTTCTTTTTTGGCAAATAGCAGTCTCCGTTCGAATCGTGTATCTTGATTCGGGTTTAACCCAAGCGGCAGCAGAGCAGCAGCATCCCATTCCGCTCGTACCGCTCGCCTCTTTATTAAGCATAGTCGAACTAGTCCGAAATGCCGGCGACTTTCTGACGCCACAGTGACGCCGTCGACTTTCACGATCCGGCTGGCGATTGAATTTAAAATGAATGACGTGGATAACCCAAAATACATACATATATGTATACAAGCCTAATCCCCAATAAAAATCTCTGCATAAAGAAATACAAATACAATTTTAATTGGTCAGATTTGTCAACTAAACGGAGCTACACAAAGGCAAGGTTACGGCCGGAGAACCCAGATTTGTGCAGATCGAAGCAGACGAGCCTTAGGAATTCCCATTTATTTTCTTTTTTTGCTTTGTTTTTAAATTCCATTTTATTTGCTGTGATATGATAAAATTTGCATGCCAAATTCGAATGCACGACGTAGTTTGTTTTGATTTCTACTTTGTTTATGGTATCTAAACCATCTATTCATACATACATAAAAATATACTGAAAACTGAAGTTAAGACATCAGCATAAAAATAAACGGAAATTTGTAATCATATTTCGATGGGCAGGCCAAAAATTGGGAGCACTTCATTAAGGTCGATATCCCGATTCCACTGAAGGCTCTTCAAAAACTCATTTAGGTGTAGGACATCATCGAACGGCTTCAGAAACTTGAAAGTCTTGGACAAATTCAGAAAAGGGCTGAACTTGGTAAAAATATTATTGATGATACGAGCGTATATCTGAAATGGAGGAAATGATCAAATATTGGGATAGGACCGTTAGATAGGTAGGTTAGGCTGGCTACACACATCGAGGAAAAAAATCGGTTGAGTATAGTTGTCGTAGGCCTCTCCGAGCTCCTGGACACGCCAGAAGATTTCGCTTTTGGAGCTGCAAACCTCCAGAAAGTGCTCCTCATTGTGCTTTTTGGCTATAGCCTTAATCAGACGCACTGTGTTTCTAGCCTTGTCCTTCTGAGCAGGCTTCAGCATCTGCCAGTATGGTGTGACCTTGGAGAATATTGAAATCTCATCCTGTATGAAGGCACTGCAGATAATCCAGTAGCGAGCACCCTCCACATTGTCGGCCACATTATTGGGCAGCGGAGTCTCGTACATCAGAAATTTGAAGACGGGCACAAAATCAAATGTGATTATTATCGGATCCTGCTCGTCTGCATTCACCTGGACCGCCTTGATGTTGTGCGCAAAGATCTGATTGCCCATCTTGCGAATGTGGCAGGTCAATTCATAGACTCTGCCGGCGCACTCAATGGTCTTCGTCTCTTCGATTACGCTCTTAACGTGCTTGCTCAGCAGAACGTGGAAATACTCAGCCGAGACGAAGCCATCTTCGACAAGGGCGTGCTTCTCCTTGCACTTGAGACGCAGCAAGTTCTTGCGATTAAAATAATAAAAGATTGGCTTCATTTTCAGTGGCATCTTGAAGGGCAGAAAGTAATTGAAGTCGGGCATCGAATCGATGGCGTTGCCTTTCATAAATGTCACTGTAACAGATTTCACTTATGTAACTTATATTGCTGAGGTTATACAACACGCGCACCCCATACCTGTGCTTCCCAGTTCGGCGAAAATGTTGCTGAAAAATGTGGATTTATTTTTTGAAGCCGCGTTCAGCGCATCTACTATGTATTTCACATCGCTGATGCAGGTCTGGTAATCCAGCTCCGAAAAGCTGATCTTTTCAATGACTTTCTCAATGGCAGTCTCGAAAATCATTATGCTGCGTTAACAAAAGACTTACTCAAAAACGGTTATTCGCCGGAAAAAAGTACACTCGGAAGTAGAATGGGAAATCGATTGCGCTTTCTTATCGGTCGAGCTACCAGATCTATAGACTGCTGCACTCACACATACTAATTTATGCACACATGGATTGCAATTTTGATGTTGTATCATGCAAGAGCCACCATAGAGCAGTAAACTATTCGATTAGTGGTAACAAAATTAATTTTTATAAGCAACCGTATTTAATGATAGAGAATATTTTTAATTTTTAATATATATATCATATAAATAGTATTGTACGCTGATTTTGTTTACTGATTTATGTTGTATTACTTTTTTAAATTAGGTTGCCCTTTATTTTGATTAGTAATATCATTTCATAATATTCCATAAGAAAAAACCGTTGCTTCGTTTTGAAATTTCCCGCTGCAAGTTTCATTCAAATTTTTTGTAGCAGTGTGTAAAATGATATGTATCGATAAATACAATAATTGCACCAAGTTTCAAGCTATCGATACTATCGTATAACTAATCGCATAACTGTCCGACCACTGTGTAATTTTCCGCGAATACGGCATGTTTGTTGCGTGATATTGTATTTTTTTTTTTTTTATAATCTAAAGAGCCGTCACCAATTAATTGCAACAGGTGCAATTGCTGCTGTGGCCATGGCTGAAGTCAAGGACTGGCGGCCGTTTGTTTATGGCGGTCTAGCATCCATAACAGCCGAATTCGGTAAGTATGCTATGCTGTGGCTATGCTACAAACAGAGACAACAAATATTGGTGTAAACAAACATTGCTCTCATGTGCACGCACATGTCTATTTTTATGCAGGCACGTTTCCCATTGACACCACAAAGACCCGTCTTCAAATTCAAGGGCAGAAAATCGACCAGAGCTTCTCGCAGTTGCGATACCGTGGCATGACCGATGCGTTTGTCAAAATATCGAGGGAGGAGGGACTGCGCGCATTATATTCTGGGTGAGATTTACTGCACTCACAATTGCCAAATGCATTCAAGTGACCCAATAACGTGCAAATTGTGCACTTAATCATATGCATTTCTGTTTGTGTGTGTGTGTGTGCGAGCGTAGTGATAACGACTGTCTCGCTGTATACTGAACCATAAAAAAACGTCTCGTGTTATAATCCATCAAGTGTACATCACACGAAACTTTGGCCCTGGCCGCTTGATAAGCATAGCAGTAACCCCTTAGACTTTGTTTTCTATGGTGTATATGTATATATGATTTTTTGATAGCCAGAGATATCAGCTAGGCTAAACAGTTAAATTGTCTTGCAGCATTTGGCCCGCTGTGCTGAGGCAAGCCACATACGGCACTATCAAATTCGGCAGCTATTATACCCTCAAGAAGCTGGCTAACGAACGTGGTTTGCTGACGAATAACGACGGCAGTGAACGTGTTTGGAGCAACATCATTTGTGCGGCGTCAGCCGGTGCTATCTCATCTGCTATAGCGAATCCTACCGATGTGCTCAAGGTGCGTATGCAGGTGCACGGCAAGGGCACCGATGCACTGGGTCTGTTCGGCTGCTTCCGGGAGATCTACAAATATGAGGGCGTGCGTGGACTGTGGCGAGGCGTGGGGCCTACGGCGCAGCGGGCAGTGGTCATTGCATCTGTTGAGCTGCCCGTCTATGACTTTTGCAAGCTGCAGCTAATGAGCGCCTTTGGTGATCACGTCGCTAATCATTTTATGTAAGTGCGATTGAAATTAGATAAACAAATTAACAACTCTCTTTTTTTATGCACAGTTCGAGCTTTATTGCTAGCTTGGGCAGCGCCGTTGCCTCGACGCCAATAGATGTTATTCGGGTAAGTCTGACAACCATCCAGTTCCAAAGAAGGTCATTTAGATTTACTCTTGCTCAACAGACACGCCTCATGAATCAAAGGCACGTGACAATGCTGAGTGGTGGCATAGCCACGGCAGCTGCCCCAACACCGAAACTGTACAATGGAAGTCTGGACTGTGCTGTGCAGACGATTCGAAACGAAGGACTTTTCGCGTTATACAAGGGCTTCATACCCACTTGGGTTCGAATGGGTCCTTGGAACATCATCTTTTTCATCACGTACGAGCAATTGAAGAAATATTAGCATCCCATCGCAGATCAAGAGACATCATGTACAAGATGTATTTAGCATTGAAACCAAAAACATCTATTTTATAATAGGCAAATAATTGAAATGAAATCAATCCAGGGAGTAGTCACTTAAGTGCCTGTTGCATCACGACTATCTAATAGCCGACAAGGACCTCCAAGCTTATGTAGGGTAAAAGTCACGAAAATTTGCATGATTCTTTATACGAAGATGCGCATTTAAAGTATTTGCAATTTAAAATAAGCTTTCGTTGAAGCTATATGCATCCTCTAGTCCCTAAAATGCTTTTCTATTTCTTGCATTTCCTGTACTCAACTGAGTTTCCAAGTCAATATCAATATTTTAATTGCATTTGGTTGAACGCATTTGGGAACTTGTTATTCTTAACTTAAGAAAGAAAATGTGACAAAATTAGCTAAATTAAGCTATTGATTGGGTTGACAGTAAAAAGATTAGTTGAAATTGTAATTAACACTCATTTCATTTATTCTTTAGTTTGCATTTCATACAAATCTTTTCTGTAAATATGTACATTTAGTAATATAAAGATATATATAAAGCATTTTCATGAGATCAAGCAACGATGTATGTACACTAAAATCTTAAAAATATACAGATTAACGGAAATCTCATAAGAAGTAATGTATTTCGATGAATTCGCTGTAAAGCAAAATGAAAAATTTAATCAAAAACTATAATTACATGTATCTATGTAATATAAGTAAAAGAACTATAGAAAATTCTATACTGTTAGTGACTTGTATATGGGAATTATATTTATAACTTGTCGACCAGCTTTTCAATATAAATTGCTGTGTGGTTTTTGCGGTAATAAAAAATAAATTGAAATAAAGTGAGCAGACCTTATAAGCATTTAAGAATATTTTAAGACAGCACATATATATTTCCTCAGTTATATATACATTAATATATTTGTATTTAAACAATTTTAACGGGTAATATAGAATATTCTGTGGAGTATTGCCTTTTGATTATATGAATGTCCATTA